GTGTATTATTAGTTTCAGAGGTAGAGTTTAGTGATTCATCAGTCTTATATAACACCCAGTGCTCATTACATCCTCTGCTCTCTTAATGTCCATCACCCAGTTACTCTATCCCACCACCCACTGTCCCCTCAGCAGCCCTCAGTTTGTTTCTTATGATTAACAGTTTCTTATGGTTTTCCTCCCTCTCTGTTTTTATCTTGCTTTATTTTTCCTTCCCTTTTGCTATGCTCCTGTTTTCTTTCTTAAATTCCACATATGAATGAAGTCACATAATTGTCTTTCTCTGAGTAACTTATTTCACTTAGCATAAACCCTCTAGTTCCAACCACATTATTGCAAATGGCAAGATTTCTTTTTTGATGGCTGAGTAATATTCCATTGTGTATATATACCACATCTCTTTTACTTACTCATCTGTTGATGGACATAAGAGCTTTTCCCACAATTTGGCTACTGTAGACATTGCTGCTATAAAGTTTGGGGTGCAAGTGTCCTCTGAATCACTACATTTGTATCATTGGAGTAAACATCCAGTAGTGTGATTGCTGGGTCATAGGATAGCTCTATTTTCAATTTTTTGAGGAACCTCCATGATGTTTTCCAGAGTGGCTGCACCAGCTAACATTTCCACCAACAGTGTGAGACAATTCCCCCTTCTCTGCATCCTTGTCAACATCTGTCATTTCCTGGCTTATTAATTTTAGCCATTCTGACCAGTTTGGGATATTGTCTCATTGTGGTTCTGATTTGTAGTTCCCTGATACCAAATGATGTGGTGCATTTTTTTCATGTGTCTGTTGGCCATTTGTATATCTTCTTTGGAGAAATGTCTGTTTGTGTCTTCTGCCCATTTCTTGATTGGATTTATTTGTACTCTGCATGTTGAGTTTGTTAAGTTCTTTCTAGATTTTGGATACTAGCCCTTTATCTGGTTAGACATTTACAAGTATCTTCTCCCATTCTGTAAGTTGTCTCTTGGTTTTGTTGACTGTTTTCTTCACTGGGCAAAAGCTTTTTATCTTGATGAAGTCCAATAGTTCATTTTTGCCTTTGTTTCCCTTGTCTTTAGAGACATGTTTATCAGGTCAGAGAGAATGCTGCCTTTGCTCTTCTCTAGGATTTTGACACATTCCTGTCTCCCATTGAAGTCTTTCATTCATTTTGAGTCTATTTTTGTGTAGGGTGTAAGAAAATGGTCGAGAGTCATTCTTCATGTGGCTGTCTGATTTTCCCAACACCATTTGTGGAAGAGACAAATTTCCATTTGACATTCTTTCCTGCTTTGTCGAAGATTAGATGACCATAGCATCGAGGGTCTGCTTCTGGGTTCTCTATTCTATTGCATTGGTCTATGTCTGTTTTTGTGCTAGTACCATACTATCTCAATGATTACAGCTTTGTAATAGAGCTTTAAGTCTTTCACTGTTATGCCACTAGCTTTGGTTTTCTTTTCTTTCTTTCTTTTTTTTTTAAGATTTTATTTATGTATTTGACAGAGATCACAAGCAGGCAGAGAAGTAGGCAAGGGGTGGGGGGAAGCAGGCTCCCCACTGAGCAGAGAGCCCAATGTGGGGCTTGATCTCAGGACCCTGAGATCATGACCTGAGCTGAAGGCAGAGGCTTAACCCACTGAGCCACCCAGGTGCCCCTAGCTTTGGTTTTCTTTTTCAACATTCCTTTGACTATTCAGGATCTTTTCTGGTTCAATACAAATTTTAGGATTATTTGTTCCAGCTTTGTGAAAAATGTTGATGGTATTTTGATAGGGATTACACTGAATATATAAATTGCTGGAGGTAGGTAGCATAGACATTTTTTTTAAAGATTTTATGTATCTAGGCAGAGAGGGGGAAGCAGGCTACCCGCTGAGCAGAGAGCCTAATGCAGGGCTCGATCCCAGGACCCTGAGATCATGACCTGAGCCAAAGGCAGAGGCTTAACCCACTGAGCCACCCAGGTTCCCCATAGGCATTTAAACAATATTTGTTCTTCCAATCCATGAGCATGAAACATTTTTTCATTTTTGTCTTCCTCAACTTCTTTCATGAGTGTTCTCTAGTTTTCAGAGTATAGATCCTTTGCCTTCTTGGTTAGGTTCATTCCTAGATATCCTATGGTTTTTGGTGCAATTGTAAATGGGATTGATTCCTTCATTTCTCTTTCTTCTGTCTCATTTTTAGTGTATAGAAATGCTACTTATTTCTGTGCATTGATTTTATATCCTGTCACATTGCTGACTTCCTTTATGAGTTCTAGCAATTTGGGGTGCAGTCTTTCATATTTTCCACGTAGACTATCATATCATCTGTAAAGAGTGAGAGCTTATTTCTTTGTTGATTCAGATGTCTTTTATTTCTTTTCGTTGTCTGATTGTTGAGGCTAGGACTTCTAATACTATGTTGAACAACAGTGGTGAGAGTGGACATCCCTGCCATATTCCTGCCCTTAGGGGAGAAGCTCTCAGTTTTTCCCCATTGAGAACGGTATTTGCTGTGGGGTTTTCACATATGGCTTTTATGATGTTGAGGTATGTTCCTTCTATCCCTACACAGTGAAGAGTTTTAATTAAGAAAAGATGATGTACTTTGTCAAATGCTTTTTCTGCATCAATAGAGAAGATCATATGGTTCTGGATCTTTCTTTAATTAACGTAGTGTAACACATTGATTGATTTGCGGATACTGAACCACCCTTGCAACCAAGGACTAAATCCTACTTGGTCCTGGTGAATAATTCTTTTAATGTACTGTTGGATCCTACTGGTAGTATCTTGGTGAGATATTGACATCCATGTTCATCAGAGATACTGATTTTTAATTCTTTTTGGCAAGATCTTGGTCTGGTTTTGGGATCAAGGTAATACTGGCCTCATAGGATGACTTTGGCAGTTTTCTTTCCATTTCTATTTTTGAAACAGCTTCAGAAGTATAGGTATTAATTCTTCTTTAAATGTTTGGTAGAATACCTCTGGGACACGGTCCAGCCCCAGAATCTTGTTTTTTGGGGAGATTTTTGATTATTGCTACAGTTTCCTTGCTGGTTATGGGTCTGTTCATGTTTTCTATTTCTTCCTGGTTCAGTTTAGAAATACAATATGGAACTGAAAAACATAATGGAAGGACTTGGAGATAAAGTTGAGGAAACCTCCCAGAACAGAGCACAAAACAAAGAAAAAGAACATCGGTGGTAGGGGCAGAAGGGAGAATCAGATAACTAAAGAATTAGTCCAGTAGGTTCAATACTTTAAAATAACCATTCTGGAAAGAAAGGAAGGCAGCAATAATAGAGGAAATCACTCAAGAAGTTATTTCCCAGAATTAAAGGACTCAAGTTTCCAGATTAAGAGGATCCGCCAGGAACCCAGCACAATAGAGGAAAATAGTCCCACATCAAGACTCAACATTGCAAAACGTAGGAACACTGATGATAAGCCAAAGGCCTGAAAAGCCTCCTGAAAAGAAAAAGGAAAGATTTCATATCATCAATTAAAAATCACAACAGCATCAGATTTCCCAAGTTCAATGTGATGGCTATAAGGCAATGCAGCAATGCCCTGAAACTTCTGAAAGGAAATAGTATCCATTGTAGAGTTCTATATCCAGAAAATATCGATTAAGAGAAGGAAATAAGAAAGGCATTTCCAGGTATGCAATGCCTCAACACATTTACTTCCCATCACTTTCCTTTCAGAGCTTCTGGAGAATGGGTTCCTCCAAGAGGCAGGAGTAAATCACAAAAATGTAAGACAAAGGATCCAGATATAAGGAGAGTCAACACAAGGGAAGGATAAAGAGAATAACTAGAATGATGATAAGGATAAGAGCAACTCAGAAAGGAATCCGTGCAGAGCAGAGCAAATCAGGAGCATGAGACGAGAAGATTTAGACTCTGGGAGAGGATGGGGGTTAGTAGTGGTAAATACATCTAACAAAAACTATGCAATGAGAAAACAAGACAAAGGAAATAAAAGAGTTGTCCTGTGAGAAAATATAACTACAGTATTTTACATGGCTCAGCAGTGTTCTAATAATGGAGACACTGGATACTGATCTCACCAAAATGATGATATAATCAGTTGAGGGAAGTGTGTTTGGATTTAGTGAATGGAGAGGATGAAAGAGAGTTGGTGGGGAGGTGGGCTTAGATTTTTTTCAAATAAACTTTGAACTATTTGACTGCTTAAACTATATGTGTGTACAGTGATCAAAATAGATTTTGCGGGGGCACCTGGGTGGCTCAGTCGGTTAAGCATCTGCCTTTGGCTCAGGTCATTATCTCAGGGTCCTAGGATCAAGCCCTATGTCAGGTTCCCTGCTCAGTGGGAAGTCTGTTTTTCCCTCTCCCTCTCCCTCTGGTTTCTCCCCTCCACCTATGCTCTCTCTTTCTCTCTCAAATAAATATTTTTTAAAAATAGATTTTTTTTTAATGACTACAATTAACTATCCATTCCACACGTGAATAGACATAGTCTCCAACTCATTTTTTTCACCACTATCTTCATTTGCTTTGAAAGAGAGAAGTTACCAGGACAGGGAACTGGGGAGAGGTTGCACAAAATGCAAGAAGAGGAGTGTGAGATCCAGGCTCCCAGTTATGGAATGAATAAATCATGCAGATGAAAGGTGCAGCATAAGGAATATAGTCTATTGTATTGTAATAGCATTGCATGGTGACAGATGGTAGCTACATGTGTGGCGAGCAGAGCATAACATATAGAACTGTCAAATCACTATGTCGTTCACCTGAAACTATTCTAACAATATGCGTCAACTACACTTCAATTAAAAATGATATATATATTTTTAAAAAAACTAAGTAAGAAAAAAGAGAGAGAGAAGTTAAAACTGTGAGGTTTTCCAGAACATTCCAAATATCTGAACATACACATGTTGTGTGACTATCTATGAATCCAATCTTCCTCATAATCTCAGAAACCCAGCACGGGTAGAGGTCTCCTTAATATTTCTCATTCACCAAATGGGAGAAGACCAGGAATTTACCTCCGTGCATCGCATCAACTCGTATCTTCAGTTGGCCGGGCCCTGTCAGCAAACTCTTGATGGCATTAAAGTCAAAGATGGTCCGAAGGAGGTTGAGATAGATATCTACTGGGTCCACTATCTCCACTAAGGATAGAAGAATAAAGGGAAATATCATTGACCATACCCATGAAGAACACTGGGAAGTGTAAAAAAGAATCACTACCCTAACAGCATGAAGTTCTGACCACAATCCCATCATAACCCTAGCCATCATGCAGGAAGCCAAGTGTCCATTTCTACACTAAGTCACAAAATTAAGGCACAATCAAGATCCTACAAACTTTTTTGGTCATAAATGGGTATACATAATACAAGTTATACATTCCTCTTTGCAAATGAAGAATCAAACACAAAATTAAGTAATTAAGATAAAACTGCACCCTTTTATCCCATCTTCCTTCCACCACATCCCTCCCAAAGAAGGCACACACACACACAGCTCAATGCTAAGAGACATCGTGGCACACCCAAATGCCTCTCCTGTGGAGGTAAGCCAAAGAATCACTCGGGGGGCTTAAAGGGTCACTTTAGCAGTGGCCCTTATTTTCTAAATGCCATTATGCCAACCAAATCCAGGGTTAGATTGGTGATGAAGGATACATTCCTGAGTTTGTACTGTGTGCCCAACCCAGTACCCATTTCAGGCTGAATGCCAAATATTTAGAAACCTTCATTAAACATAAGTATTCCTCAATGTTTGGTACCCCCCAGTGACCAGGAACCCAAAACTAGTCTTTTCCACTTATTTGACAGATATACACAATGCAAAATCCATTACATTTTTCAAACTTGGCCATCAACATATAATTAATACTAAGAAAGTATTTTCCTAGAATACTAGATATTTGACTCTTTTAGCCCAAAAATTTGTCCATAAACCCTGCTTTTAAGTTCATAGTTAAATTTTGAAACATATGTATGTTGTTTTTCAAAATTTTCAAATACATACTACTTTGGAATTCTGAAATACTTAAACCTGCACAAAGGATATTACCAATCCACTTTTAATAATTTTCAGTAAATTCCAGCTATAATATTTAATGGATGGAATTGTAATATGTTATAACTAGATAGATGAAACTATTCCTTCACCTGGTCAAATACCATCTAAAAATATTTTTCAGGGGCACCTGGGTGGCTCAGTGGGTTAAGCCTCTGCCTTCAGCTCAGGTCATGACCTCAGGGTCCTGGGATCGAGCCCCACATCTGGCTCTCTGCTCAGCAGGGAGCCTGCTTCCCCTGTCTCTCTCTGCCTGCCTCTCTGCCTACTCGTGATCTCTGTCAAATAAATAAATCAACTATTTTTTTTAAATAAATAAAAATATTTTTCCTTGCACTTAGTTAATATAGTATGTAGGCCCATTTAAATATAATGTAATTATTTTTGCATGAACACAAATCATTTTTAATCTTTTGGGCTGAGAATAATATTAATTCATACAATAAATTAAGAATTAATCTTTATGAAATGTAAATGTATATGTAAAATGGTTATAATGGTAAACTTTATGTATATTATACCATAATAAAAAATTACTATATGAAATAAAAGATCATATTCTTTTAGATATAGAAGTCTTACTCCACAATATGGGATAATATTTTTAGCTATTTTATTCTGGTTCTTTAATTCTTGAACCACTTGCCTAAATACAGTTGGTATTCATAGCAGATAACACATAGTAAACAGAAATGTAAAAAACAAGGAAGCAAGTAAAATTCAGTGAAAATTGAAAGTTCATATCAAATAGTTCAGGCTCTTGAACCCTTAAGGTGAAATGCCAAGGAATGATGTGTTTGCAATTAACTCAAAGGCTTGCTCAACATTTAAAACACCAAGAACACAGCACATAAATTATCCCAAACCATTATCTTCAAATTCTTCTTGGGAGCCAGGGACTGGGAGCCAGGGAATTCTTCTACCCACCTCCTGGTATCCACAGCATCTTAGAAATCTCATCAAATTAGCAATATGGCGGCAGAAACAGCCTGAACCTGAGCTTACCAATGAGACCAATGATTTAGGTCTCTTAGGCAAGCATAAAAATTGTGAAGATACCAGAAGTAAATAAATCATTTGTAACTTCTTCCTGATGGTAATGTCTGATTTTTCCCAGTCATCTTATTGTCCAATTTTTCCAAATATACATAAATGAGCATATTTAAATCCATTTCATCTACTATACCCACGTTTATGGATGTCAAACCACTGTGTGTTCATGTATGTGTGTGTGCTCCCAGCGAGATTAATAAAAGGAAACACCATTATTTCCAGTATCACATGGCTTCTGATGAATTTCTGCTGGTTAGCTAAGCGAGCAATTGACTCAAAATCCTTCAAGAAGAAGATACTAGTGTTGGCTTAACAGTGTGACACCTCAATGTCCATTTCAAGCTCTCCCCTGCTTGTCCCTTCAATGCCATGCGGCTGCGAGCCTGGTATTTAATCTTTTCAGCTAAATTAATTTATTTGTCAAACAAGGAAAATATTTTAACACAGACTGTATTTAAGCATATAGGACATTAAAGGAGTAAAAAGTTGGTTTATGGCTAATTGTATATGTTCTAGGAAAAAGCAACAGGGTAAAAGGGGGGGACTAATATGCATATACATGATATTAGTGATGTTATATGGTTAAGTATTAATCTGTAAAATTAAAAGTTATAATCCGAGTACTTCAGAAGTTTCAATCAGTCTACATTGTAGGATATTTGGGGCAATTCCATTCCATTCTTTGCCTCAATCCGTTTGGTGTTTACTGAGTTCCTTTCAAAAATCTCCTCACATAGTGCTTGATATAGAATGGTGATCCCTCGCGCATTGAATCAAGGTGAACAGCATGGTTCTGGCTTGGAAAGAAATCGCCTACCTTCCATGGGAAATTTTAGTAGCCCCATTACCTTGTTAGCTCTCCTCTTCACTGTGTAAAATATTCCAGTATCTTCACTGTAATTGATTAGAAAAGTGAAGACATGTTTTGGCGACTCATAGCCTATTCTTGAGATGCCATAAGGGAGCCAGCTGTGACATTTTTCCAATGTTGAAAGTGATGTAGAATCTGGGAAGTCATTTTTGAAATTGCCAGTCCTGAGTATCTTGGCTGCTCCCACGTCCCCGTGCACCACAGTCATATTACATCTGTTTATCAAGTCACTCCCAAAATAGACCATCCAATCACTTTAGGGTGTGCCCTCCCATGCGGGAAGCAGAGTCACCGCCACCCATGGAATGACTCTGACTTCTTCAAAATATAATCTATTACCTCTAAATGGCTTGAATTTGTTCTCCAGGTCAAATTCTTGTCTTCCAAGCCGAGAGAGGTCAATTCGAAGATCAGGGCATATGGCATATTCCTCGATTGTTTTGCTGATCTGGTAGATTTTGTCTGAGACCACATCTGGTGCAGGACCTGCACGTGGAAATAGCACACCACCAAAACTAAAATTTTTAAAAAGCATCTGCAACTTCGATCAGAGGCATGTTCCCTCCTTCACCACCAAGCAAAAGAAAGATTCTTTTGTTCTTGAAACAATGGACAACAGTTCACAGTTTAACTGTTCTCCATATTCCCTATGTTGTATTCACCCACGATGGAGGAAATGTGGTCAGCCTCACCTGTTCTATGTAGGCTGATAACCCATGTGTTTGTTTATCTGAATCCATTTCTGAGCAATGATACATCTTCCCTAAAAATAGGTTCACACCTGCCGGGGAGACCCAGTTACGTAATCAGCTTTTTTCAGGATATGAGACACCAACAGGATATGCACTTGACAGAAATGAGGGATTCCAGATTTAAACTGCAGCCTCCCAAGTGCACCTAGAGAAAGAACACACGAGTTCTACGCCCAGGTTGGCTGCCTTGTTGAGGCAGGAGCTTGCCAGGGTTAAATGCTTTCCTCGACTCAGGCTCCCTAATGACATCCAAGTTTTTAAAATGAGGTTTAAGTAAAAATATTTGATGTGTTTCCTCACAAGATCAAGAGGACAATTAGGCTGCGAGAGACTTTAAATGAACATGAAATCAAAAGTTGTCCCCCTTTCAGCTTCTTTTTAAATTTTGTTTTGTGCTGCAAGTCACTTTAGATTTTTTGCAGTAAGTTTGGAAATCAAATGAGTACAGTGCAAGATCTAAAATATCAATGAGAGACAATAGATAGGTTTTATATGAGATATACTTGCCAACTTGACTGTAACTTTCAACCAAAAGGAAATCAAGAAATAATTTCTTTTCTATCCCAATCCTTCAAGCTACACTGTCCAGGACAGTAGTCGCTAATGGTATACAGCTATTGAGCACCTGAAATGTGACTAGTGAAATTGATATGTGTTGTAACTGTAAACTACACATCAAATTTTGAACAGTTCGTAGAAAAAAATGTTAATAGGTTACATTTAACTTTTATAGTAACTTGATGAAATAATATTTTCAGTATACGAGGTTTAAAAATGCATTGTTCATGGGGTGCCTGGGTGGCTCAGTGGGTTAAAGCCTCTGCTTTTGGCTCGGGTGGGTTATGATCCCAGGATCCTGGGATCGAGCCCCACATCGGGCTCTCTGCTCAGCAGGGAGCCTGCTTCCTCCTCTCTCTCTGCCTGCCTCTCTGTCTACTTATAATCTCTGTCAAATAAATAAATAAAATCTTTTTAAAAATGCATTGTTCATTTCACCTTTTTTTTTTTACTTTATGTCGCTACTAGAAAGTTTAAAATCCTGACTCACAATATATTTCTATTAGGCAACTCACAATATATTTCAAAAACATAGCACTGTTTTTGTCTCCCCATAAATGCTCATTGAATACATAAAAAGGAATACTACCTAAACACAACAAACTGTATACATTAACTATGAGCAGATTTTTTTGTATATCAATTATACCTCAAGAAAGCTGTCTTAAAAATAAAGGAAGGGCAATGTCCCCATTCTACTGCATGGAAAAGAGGCCTACTAGATTTTAACCATATTTCCTTGTCCTTTAGGAAAAGCAAAGGCTGCAAAGAAAAAAAAAAATGGCCCTCCTCCTCTACTCCACACCATTTTTTATCCTTTCACAAAATGTAAAACAGTAAATAGCCTTGTTCTGTCTTTGCCTTTTCTATGCTTGTCCACTTGGAGAATGCATGAATATCTCCCTGCTCCCTTAGGTGCCACTGTATTCTTTGACTGTGTCCCTCACTTTTAAAAAACCTGATTTGATGACAAAGCACACTGGCTTCCAAAAGTAAAACAACTTCTAGCATGTTCCTTTTCTGTGATGCCACTCGACCACCCATGTGGTTAACCTCACAAGCTCGTCATCAACCTCTGCATCTACCAACTGCTTCCGAGTTCCTTGACATCTTCTGCTCTAATGACTTTTCCTCCTCATTTTAGTCAGTGGCTGGTAAAGTCATATCTTAAATATTATTGCCTCTTGAAATCGTTTCAAAATAGCAAATTTGAGTGTCTTCTGCCCATGAATTCCTTATCTGCCAGCTACCCTCCTCCACACCTCCGCTGAACTTGCTCTTTCCTGAACTGATGCCCATCCTCGCTATTGGTCCCTTCTAGTTTCACCGGTCTCTAATCCTAGGCAGGACCTAAGATCCACTGTCTGAGCCATACCTTTGTTAGCATAATAACATGAGCCTACATTTATTGAAACTTACATATACCACATTTCACACTTTACATGGAATTCAACACGCACAGAAAGCAGATGAAATAGGAGTTATTATTATCCTCAACTGCCGAATGGGGAAACTGAAATTTGAAGAGGAAGAGATCCTTAACCAAGGCCCCTTCACTGGTAATAGACAGAGGCTGGATTTTGAATCCTAATAGTCCGATGCCAGCTCAGACACCTGTAACGAGTACCATTCCTCCATGCCTCCACAGCCATTCCCCAACCCTGGGACATCACCATCATCTGTCCCCACTGCTACAATTTCCAGACTCCCACATATTGCTGGAGGTAGTAAAAAATTACACCAAGTAGCTCCCCCTAGGAATGAGGCTGCTTACCTTTACGACTTCTCATGCATGAATCATCAACACATTTCCCATAATACCTTTTACAGAATATGTCCCCAAGTCCTCCCTCTCCTTGTCCCATTATCTTACCACACAATCTTTCTTCTTACTTTCTTTTTGGAACAGGTATAGCAACTATTACCCCAAACTTTCATTCTGCACCCCTCAGAATTGCTTCTTTCCCCATCCTTGCGATCTTATCCAGAAGTTTTGCCCTCTTCCCAGAATCTAGGCTCTAACTGAGCTCCACACCTTAAGAATTCTGTGACACTGGTCAAGCTTTTTAAACCATTTAATTCCTCAGTGACTTCATCAGGTTGTTGCGAGGATTAAATGAGAAAAGGTATGTAAAGTTCTGAGTATGGTGCCCAGCACATTATAAGATTCCAAAAAATCCACTATCTTTATTATGGATCCCATTACCCCTCTAGCATCTTCCCCTCTACTTAAAAACATCCTCAGAACGGTCCTGTCCTCTAAATGCACTTTAAAAGTAACATAGTTCCAGATGTGTCCTAGTTCCCTGGCTGTGCCTACTAATTCCGTAGACAGTTTTTTTTTTTTTAAGATTTATTCATTATCTGAGAGAGAGAGAGAGAGCTCATGCATGAGTAGGGGGAGGGGCTGAGGAAGAGAGAAAGAGAGAAACAGACTCCCCACTGAGCCTGGGGCCCTATAAGGGGCTCAACACCGCTGGATTCCAGGATCCGGAGATCATCAGCTGAGCCCAGATCAAGAGTCAGACATCCGACCAACTAACCACCCAGGTGCCCCAAGACACATAGCCTTTTAATTCATTCCATAAAATGTATCTATATGACACACAATGAAAAGAGATGAATGTCTCTTCAAGGAAAGAAATTATGGTAAAATTGATTCTTCTTTGAGTAGGAAGAAACCAACTGAATCTTTCTATGCCATTAGGAATGTTAGCTTCATTCATAATGCCAAGACATGCAAATATAAAGAATTAAGCATAAGAGAGGGACTTTCAACACAGTTAAAAGCCAAAATCTACAGCTGAATACGTCTCATTTCCCCCTGTACTTTAGTCTACAAAATGGGTATTTAAATAATATCTTCTCCCTTTATGCCTCACAGGATATCACAGAGATGACTGAGATATTTTTGTAAGATATGAAATCAAATATAAATTCCAAATACTTACTTTGGTAAGCGTTGTTTAGGTGGGCAACTTTTAAATCACATTTCTCTACAAATTGCCACTTTCTGAGCCCATTCAATTTCCCATGTTAACAGCATATGGAATACCTGAATCTTGCCCGTTTTTTCCTGAAATCCTCAAGGGCTGTTGCAAGACTAGATGTGGGTCCTTGGTATGCTTTTTAATGAAACGAAACTTCTCGAAGTATATGATTCATAAAGGTGTTTTTTTTAAAACACTTGATGTGAGTGAGGTTCATTTGTTTGGATAATGTCCAAAATGGCTTCAAGGAGGCAGAAAATAATATTCTGGCCAAAAATAATTCATAAAGGTAGCTATTGTTGGTGAAAATTACATACTCCTGCAGAAATGCAGACTCAGTGTTCTATATTAAGACTAAGAGACTTAACAACCAAATGTAATGCATAGTTCTTGGATGAATCTTGGTTTGAATAAAACAGCTATAAATAGGGTGCCTGGGTGGCTCAGTTGGTTAAGCCACTGCCTTCGGCTCAGGTCATGATCCCGGAGTCCTGGGATCAAGTCCTGCATTGGGAGTCTGCTTCTCCCTCTGACCTTTTCCCCTCTCATGCTCTCTCTCTCTCACTCTGTCTCTCAAATAAATAAATAAATTCTTTTTTTTAAAAAACAGCTATAAATAACATTTTGGAGGAAACTGGAAAATGCTGAATATAGATTAGGTTTTAGATATTAGAGAGTTGGTATTATTTTTGCTAGGTGTGAGTGATAATGTAGTTATGTTAGAATATGTCTTTCTTTTAAGAGATGTATTCTGAAATATTTAGGTATAAAATGTCTTCATGCTGTAATTTACCTTAAAATTCTTTACGGGAAAAAAAGTGCAAAATGGAAAAGCAAAATAATGGACACAAGCTATCCATTTATTATTCTCACCTTTATATATGTTTAAAATTTTGTTTAATTCACCCCATACCCATATCCCACTGCACAAAGACCTCTAAACTATACATTTCTATAAATAGAAGAAATAGTGAAAAGATTCTAAGCATTTCAGGAAGAGAAAGTCAACACTATAAGGAAGAAAGATGTCTACAGGTTATGTTAAAAAATCATTTGTCTAGCCTTGAGCAGCCATGTGAATTTGAGCAAATCAATAACAGCCTCTGGGGGATTTATTTCTTCATCTATAAAATGACAGAAATGGACTAAATGACTTAGAGGGTCTCTTGCAGCTTTAAAATTCAGAGTCCTTCCATATCAGATAAGCATCCATGAGATCAAGTGGGTTTAAGATCTCATTAGGCCACTTCCTTGTCATGTCACCTCAAGGGTTGTGGTGGTTCGTTTTATACGTCATTCCGACTGAGCCACAGGGTGCCCAGATATTTGGTTAAACCTTATTCCCATGTGTCCATAGGAGTCTATAGGCCTGTTTCTGGATGAGATTAGTATCTGAATCAGTAGACTGAGGAAAGGAAAGTGCCTTCCCCAATGTAGTGGCCTTATCCAACCCACTGAAAGCCTGGACAGAACAAGAGGCTAAGTGAGGGAGAATTCACTTTCTCTGCCTGGCTTCCGGCTGAGACACTGGTCCTCTCCTGCCCTGGAACCCGGACTCGGACTGGAACTTACACCGTCAGTTCTGCTGTTTCTCAGGCCTTTGGACTCAGACCAGAACTCCACCATCAGCTCTCCTGGGTCTAGAGGTCTCGGGACTTTTCTGCCTCCATAATCACATGAGCCAACCCCTCTTTGGGCCCTGGGGCAGGTGAGGCTGCAAGCAGACCCTTTAAGAGCTGTCCCTCAGTTCGCCACAGCCCCAAGGGTCAAGGGCATGAGCCAGTTGGTCTTCTAAGACAGATGTGTTGGGGGCTCATCTCTCAGGTGGCAGTCTTAAGAAATGGAGTACCCAATGTAGAGTACGAGCCCTGCCTTCCTCAGAGAGAAGCTCAGGATTTTGCATTCTCTCCAGATGGTGGACTATTTGGCCAGCAGTGAGGTTTATGGTGAGGTGGTGTCCCAACTTCTCCCACCCACTTTGACAAGGTTTCCCTCTCATTTGCCTTGTGTAAAGGGGCTGCTCTGCTTGTTTTTAGTTTTTTTTTTTTTTTCCCCCAGAGGAAAGTGGTCCATCTTTCTGTAGATGCATGACAGGAGGTGAGTTCTGGATGTTCCTACATCACCATCTTGAACCAGAACCCAGCCCACTCCTCATAATAAATCTCTGTATAGCCCACTGTTCTGGTCCTCTGGAGGAACCTGACTAATACAGCACTTCACTGGAACTTTCTGTGCAATTTCTCCTCCACCCTGCTTGTCTACCACCGAAGGGTCACTGTAAGACTGTGATAGCTGGGATACATAGGTGGCACAGTCAGTTAAGTGTCTGACTCTTGGTTTTGGCCCAGGTCTTTATCTCAGGGTTGTCAGGTGGAGGCCCACGTCAGGCTCCGTGCTCATTGTGAGTCTGCTTGAGATTCTCTCTCTCCTTCTCCCTCTGCCCCTCACCCTACTCTCACACATGCTGTCTCAAATAAATAAATACATCTTTTTTAACAAATAAGACTATGACAACATAATAGGACAGAAATTGGGATGATTAAGGCAGATTTTTAGCCACATACCTCCATTGGCAACATTGAACTTCACTCCAAACTCTCCCCCTGGTCCTCCAGGGCAATGGCTGGCTGTTAAGATAATTCCACCAGCTGCCTTGATCTTCCTGATAATGCAGGAAACAGCAGGTGTTGACAAGATGCCATTCTGCCCAATAATCAGTCGTCCAATCTAGATCAGCCAAAGAAAAAAATCAATCCAGTTATATGGAATCAGAGGCATTTCAACGGAAAGTGTCCCAAGCTCTGTTAAGACATAGTAAGTCACTTGGCAAAAGGAATTGAGTGGGCTTTGGGTTAGGGGGTGAATGAGAGCTCTGGCATTGTCTCTCCTGCAGGGTATCTCCAACACCACCGGGACACCCACATGTAGAGGTCAATTACCAAACTGGATTAGCCTCATTGACTTTTAGTAATTTGAAACATCGGCTTTTGATGACCAAGGGCTTGGCTTGTACTAGGCCAGAAGTTCTTAGTTTGTTACTGGCTTAGAAACTCTACACATGAACATACTAGAAATTATAAGAAAAAAGAAATGGAGTACTTCTCTGCTTCACCTCCTTCCTCTCTCTTCCTCAGCACAGGCCCATACAGGAGGGGCCTGGCTTACCATAGCCTCGTCATCAGCGGGTGTATTGAACTGCCTCTGAATAACCACTCTTATGGAGGCAAGAATTTTATTTCTGCCACTGACAACATGTGCTGGAGACAATAGAAAAACTATCCAGTCACGCTAAGCAGAGATCTGTAGGTCATCCATGGGTGTGGGCAGTCTTTCTAGAGCTACAAAAGTGACTTTTAAAAAAGAAAGCCATATAACCCTGCAGAGTATGACTCAGCATGCTTGCTCTTAAAATAAAGACCAATGTCATCCAATCCAGTGGTTCTCAGATGTTACAATTCAGAATCCTAATGAAGCCTTAAAATTACCAATACTCAGACTGCATCTCAGACTAATTGTATTAGAATCTCTGGGAGTAGAATTAAGGCTTCATGGTCTTTAAAGCTCTAGAGGTGGTTTCAACATTCATCCGAGCTTAGTGATCAAGTCTCCTTGTTAAGAATCAGCAGCATGGGCATCCCCTATGAGCTTAGTAGAAGGGCTAAACCTCAAGGTCCACTCAAGACCCACTGAGGAAGAATCTGTTAAGTACCTTAACAAGATCCCCTCCCCCCCTTTCCAGTTAGTTCATTTGTCCATCAAAATTTGAGAAGTACTGCTGTGGCCCACAAGGGAAGGCAAGCTCTAGTATCCAGCTCAACACCAAAATTACCCTGGACCCAACTACAGCAATGCTAGAAGTAGGTCACTGATTGAAGAGGACAATGAAGGAAGATACAGGAAAAAAAATGTACAAAGAGCAGGGGTGCCTGGGTGGCTCAGTGGGTTAAAGCCTCTGCCTTCAGCTCAGGTCATGATCCCACGGCCCTGGGATTGAGCCCCCCATCGGGCTCTCTGCTCGGCAGGGAGCCTTCTCCCCCCACCCCTCTGCTGCCTCTCTGACTATTTGTGATCTCTGTCAAATAAACAAATAAAGTATTTCAAAAAAAAAAAAGCACAATGTAAAGTTATATTCACTTTGGGACTACAATTTGGAAAAAATACAGAAATAAATATATACAATTTATTTATCAAGTAGTTGTGATTATAGACCAACTTAACTAAATTTCAATTATTTCTTCTTTGAAAAGATAATACATATTCTGTTTAAGAAGGTTAATGTGAGAAAATATACTTGAAAAAAAAATACCAAGCTTTAACATTTTGGTTATAATTGGAGGGTTAACAGAAGACTAAATTCTAGTTACCTGGAAATTTCACCTATGCAGATGTGCTCATTAACCCAACATTACCAGAAAAAGAGGTAATGCTGAGCACTGTGTATAAACCTAATTGTGGGACATCTGAGGCATGGTAAGAGCTGGAGGAGAGGCATGAGAGCAAGTGATGGAGTTTCTAAAGTCAGACATAGAAAATCATACAGACATGTGTATCCCCTGGAAATGCTCACTAAGAGGGGACTTAAGCAGACAATGATTTTAAGAATCAAGCAGGTAGGATCAGCCTCCTTCGTGTGAGTCTGATCAGCCTCCTTCCTGGGTAGCCACACCTGTCATTGACCAATGGACTAGGGAACTAAGTTCCATGAGGAACCCTCACAGTGGCAAGGAGGGAGGTGGTACATGGACTCAGCACCATAACTTTCCTCTCACCAAGTCCAGCCTGGCTCCAGCCACCACTGGGCACCCAACAGAGACCAAAACTGAGTCCCTAATATGGCACCATTGCCGGGGTGATCAGCTAAACACCCAGTGGCAGGTTGATTACAGTTGGACCACTTCCCTCACGGAAGGGGAAGAGCTTTGTTCTTACTGAAGAGGACACACAGAAGAGAAGATACACCCGGAAGAAGCAGTGTGAAGACAGAGGCAGAGATCAGAGTAAGGTGGCCACAAGCCAGGGAATGCCAAGGAATATGGCAGCCACCACACCAGAAGCTAGAAGAGGCATGGAATGATTCACCCTTAGAGCCCTCAGAGGAAGCATGATCCTACTGGATTTCAGACATCTGGCCTTCTTCTAGCAACTGATAAAAGAAATATAACCTTTGGAAACCCTGTTGTTTAAAGAAAGAACACTCCATTTCGAAGTTAAAAGATCTAGATGGGAGCCTTGCCTCCACCCCAGAGGAGGGCAAATCACTTCACTTTTCTGAGGCTTCATGTCTTCATCTGCAAAGCTGAGAATCTTAAGATGAGAATTCATAAAGAAAAACCCTTTGTGAAATTAAACATGACATGTTACCATCACCCTCCTCGAACACTTGTTTTTTTAAATTTTTTAAAAGATTTTATTTATTTATTTGAGAAAGTGAGAGCATGAGCAGGGAGAAGGACAGAGGGAGAGGGAGAAGCAGACTCCCAGCTGAGTGCAGATGCTGGCGCGGGGCTCGATCTCACAACCCCGAGATCCTGACCTGAGCTGAAATCAAGAGTCAGATATTTAACTGCTTAACTGACTGCACCCCCCAGGTGCTCGCAAAATTCACTTTTTTTTTTTTAAAGATTTTATTTATTTGTTTATTTGACAGACAGAGATCACAAGTAGGCAGAGAGGCAGGCAGAGAGAGAGAGAGAGAGGGAAGCAGGCTCCCTGCTGAGCAGAGAGCCCAATGCGGGGCTCGATCTCAGGACCCTGAGATCATAACCTGAGCTGAAGGCAGAGGCTTTAACCCACTGAGCCACCCAGGCACCTGCAAAATTCACTTTTAGACAATAGGTTATCCCTTACGCTACCATTTCACTTTCCAAACAAGTCCTAGGAATACTGCCCTCCACCACCACCATCACAGCAGACGCTACCTTAACACTGCTTTTGTTTAGGGCATTGGAGCAGGTGGCAACTGACTTTTTTCCTGAGTGAAACCCAGTCTGCAACCCGGGGCATGGTGGAGTGGGGTGGGGGGTTCAAGTCAAGGCATCCTGCGGCTCCCTGACCTTCCCACGAGGGGCACTGGGGGAATCCCACTCGCATTCCCATACGGTCTGGCTTTGGCTGGAGGAAGGGGAAACCAGCCTGGTCTTCACCTGCTACTGGGGAACATGTCTTTCTGTTCCCATTTGCAAAGGGGTTCAAGGTGGCCTCTAGTGCAGTGTCATGTACACAGGCAAGAGGTGGTACACACATCTAGATCCCAGGATCCACAGGTAGCTATGTGCACACTATCACAGGGACGCTCGCAGACCTACTGAGGCACGTTCAATTTGAGCTTGTTCCTACCTAGGCAACACTGGCAGAGGCTCCATAAAGAGAGGATGTAGCATGGGCTGGCGTGCAATGAGTCACATTTCCCAGGGTGCCATTACTTAATCATCTCCCTGTATCTAGTCTCCTAGATGGAGGTCGGAACCACTCACCAACTCTTGAACCTCACCTGGACTGCGTCATTACTGCTCCACCTCTGATGGACACAGCAGGTGCCAAGGGAATCAGTGCACCCCTCCACATGGCACAGACCAGCGTCCTGAGAAGAGAACCTTTTATCCCATAAAGCTTTCTCCCAGCCCTGCCATTTCTTTACACCAGGTGCCATACACAACCCATTTTTAAAATAATTTTCTTTCTCAGGGCACCCTAGTGGCTCAGTCAGTTAAGCATCTGCCTCTTGATTTCAGCTCAGATCATGATCTCAGGGTGGTGAGATCGAGCTCTGCATTGGGTTCTGTGCTTAGCGGGGAGTCTGCTTGAGATTCTCTTTCTCCCTCTGCTTCTCCTCCTCCCCCTCCCCAAAATAAATAAATCTTTAAAAAAAGTAATAAGTTTCTTTCTCATGGCTTGTTCTTTTCAGAACACTAACAAACTATTCTTCTAAATCAGACTTAGCAATGAGTTCAGTTTCTAATTAGCTCAAAGTACTAGAGAGCAGCGATGGGCAGTTGAAACCCGCAGGGTAGGGTCTCAGAGTACAGGCAGATTTTCTACTCCAAACGATTTTCTCCAAGGAACAAAACTTATTGTTTTCCTGTGTGAACTCCCTTAAATACGACTCCCCTGCCATGATTTCCTTTGAGCTTTACACAAGCCATTTTTTTTAAAAGAGTACCAAAGGGAGACAAGAAAAAGTAAGCATAACGTTCCCCAATATCCTCCACTCACTGTGCCATATGCCTCTCATTCCCAAAGTGAATCAGAGAGCGAAGAGAGCAATAAACAGAAGCTTCCTTGATGGTTCCCAGAGTGTGGTGTGGACCACACAGCCACCACCACAGCCATCTCCAAAGTGCACAGAGAGCCACAGATGCAAAGATGCCTGTTTCCTGTCTTCACCGTTAAACACAAACCAAAACCCACGAAGCAAGGCCAAGGCCAAGCCACCATGATGGCAGGGCTTTGGTCTCTCGGCCCCAGCTGTCAGAGGGGTGTGCCAACTTTTGTACACTGCTGCACATGAGTAGCCAGAGATGGCTAAGTGGAATTTCAAGAAATAACAAACTCAGGACATGGATGTGGTTATCCAAACATCAAGGGACTTCTCCATTTGCACATGGATAATGATGTGGTTATATCCTTTGTTACATGGAGACCAGATGGGAGCCGCTGAGCCCATCCTCAGCTTCCTGTCCCCTGGAAGGCTTCATGCACATACTTTGGGGCTGGAAGGAGAGATGATA